TACATAATACATTTCATCATTTACAAAATCAATATAGTTTAAATAGTAGAGGATTACTTGAATTTGGAAATCTTCTAATTGATATGGCTTATTTTGATCATGCGGAAAAATATTTTATTCGATTATTAAAACAATTATCTTCTCAACATAAAAATATTTATAAATGTTATCATGGTCTTGCTAAAATATCTTGTGAAAAAGGAAATTATGATTTAAGTCTCGTTTATCTTTTTAAATCGCTTGAAATTTTACAAAATATAAATTCAAATGATTCTAATATTGGTTATCTTTATAATAGTATTGGTGAAGTTCAACAAAAAAAAGGTGATATTAAACAAGCATTACAATCATATGAAAAAGCATTAACAATTTTTCAACAACAATCCAATTGTAATGAACAGACTCTAGCATGGTGTTATAATAATTTAGGTACTATTTATGAGGATAAAAAAGAATATGATAAAGCTCGTAACTATCTTAACAAAGCATTAAATATTAAATTAAAATATCTTCCTCCTAAACATCCTTGTTTAGGTAATACATATAATAATCTTGGTAATATTTATTATTATTTTCATGATTATGATCAAGCATTAGACATGTATCAATTATCATATGAAATCTTTAGTAAAAGTATTGCGCCTGGACATCCTTCAATAGCTAGAATATTGATGAATATAGGTATTGTTTATGAAGCTAAACAAGATTTTAATGAAGCAAAAATAAATTATGAAAAAGCAAATTTTATTCGTACAAAAATTTTATCTTCAACACATCCTGATCGAATTAGTACTCAAAATGATCTTATTCGTCTGTCCTTAAAATTTTAAACTTTCGAAGTTTATTTGGATATGTTGATAAATATTCTTATATTGATTCAAACGAAAATCAAATTAAATTTTAATTAATTATATTTTTTTATACTATGTCATGCTTTTTGTAGTAGCAAATACTTTATTTATTCTACAATGAAATCATAGAAAATCATTGATCTATTTTGATCAATAATATATTAGTTGACAACGTAATTCATTTTGGTATTATAATAATGTAGAACTTCACGTCGAAATCCTACATTTATATATTCACAATTAATTGATTTTGTTGTCCGTAAATAAAGTACGATGCATTTTTTCGAAATTGAAATACGCCCATACAATAATCTCTGATTGTATTATTCTTCATTTATATTTTTTTCTTACAAAAGACATGTATTTGAAATGTTATTATCTAATTTTCATCTCTATATTTTATCTATCTCATATTATTCAAGCAACTCATTTTCGTGGTTCAATGATATCTTGGCGAATAGTCAATGATTCCTCTTCGTCTGTTTCTGTTCAAATTTTTCAACGGTATGCTTGGCGATATACTTACTATAGTCCATATTGTACAAATGCAACTATTCCAACTGGACAACCTCTTTTAGGTGCAGGTAATTATATTAATTGTGTTAGTAGTTGTCCAACAGGTTTATCAACACTTGGAAGTGTTCAAGTTCCTTGCA